AAAAAAAAAAATTTAAAATGATAGTTTAGGGGTGGTGCCTGTGTCTCAAGGAGTAGGGCGCTAACCCCAAATATCAGAGGTGGCAGGTTCAAACTTAGCCCCAGTCAAAAAAACTACAAAATAATAATAATAATAATTTAAAAAGAAACCCTTCTCATTCCATTTTCTTCTAAAATTTTGAATTTTATGCCAGGCCTGGTGGCTCACGTCTGTAATCTCAGTCCTTTGGGAAATCAACGCAGGCAATATAGAAAAAAAGAATTGTTTTTTTCTATATTTTTTCCTTACAGAAAAAAATATTTGTATTTAATGAGCTGCACATGGTGGGTGTGCACCTGTATGCCCAGCTACTGTGGACACACTGAGTCAGGAGGATTTCCTGAGTCCAGGCCACAATAAGCTGGGTTTGGGTCACTGCACTCCAGCCTGGACCACAGAGTGAGGCTCTGTCTTTCAAAATAATAATAAATTTGAATGTTTTTACATTTCATTCTGAAATCTTTAGTCTGACTAGAGTTGACTTGTTAGTAAATGAAATTGTTATCATGTTGCCATGGATACTTATAAGCAGCCTTAGCTTAGAAGATGTTCAATAAATATTTTTCTATCTCAGAAAGACACAAATAAAAAGCTAATTAGAGGCTTGATGCCCGTAGCACAGTAGTTATGGAGCTGGCCACATGCACCAAAGCTGGTGGGTTTGAACCCAGCCCAGGCCAGCTAAACAACAACGACAACTGCAAGAAAAACTAACCATGAGTTGTGGCAGGCGCCTGTAGTCTCAGCTAGTTGGGAGGCTGAGGCAAGAGAATCACTTAAGCCCAAGAGTTTAAGGTTGCTGTGAGCTGTGATGCTACAGCACTCTACAGAGGATGACACAGTGAGACTCTGTCTCAAAAAAAAAGAAAATTAGAGGCATGCCATTAATGTGTCAATTCCCTTGTGTATTTTTATTTTATCCAGGCTTTTTCTCTTCTCTCTCTTTGCTCACAGGTCAATGCTAAATGTTATTTCTTCCTAAGAACAAGAAGAGTGTATGTTAGAATCTGCACGTATCCTGTTACATATCATCACAGCAGCCACCATGTGTGTTTCTAAAAATGCTTCTTTCTAAAAAGGGATCCCACCTGCTGACTTTTGGGGTAAGTGTTGTGTCTTTTTTTATTTTATATATCTGTTTTATTTATTAAACGGCAAAGACGGCAAGTTTACATGTTT